AGCAGTCTGAAGTTGGTTGCAGTTTTTGGATCGCAACTATCCACAATTGGAAACCTTCTCGCTCGAATTTATAAGTCCTCATTTAGAGATAGAGTTTTCCCAATCCAAAAGGACTCTCAATATTCCAACGATACAAGTATGTCCATTCGCCGAAACACATACACAAACAAACGTATACATGTCGACAACATATGGGAAGGTTATTATAAATACGAGTAAGTGAGGACAATTAATGACTTCAGAATGAGAATTTTTAAGCTAGATCGATATATTTGGAAAATTACATGCAACAATAACAAATTGAAAATAAAAATGGAAAATGAGGAAATTGTTGTTGTAAACTAATAAAAAAATAAAGTAACAGCCTAAGAATTTATGTCACAATGCCTTATATTTTCACCTCTACTTTCATAATCTGCTGATTTTTTGTAATTATTTTTGTGTTGCTCAGAGTAATTTACATCCGGCTTTTACTTTAGACAGTTCAAACTCCATTATACTTAGTTTGTACTTTACTTCTTTAACGGTGTGATTTAAAAGTGCCTATAATTCGTCTCCTACTCACTCGTATTTATAGGTCCTCATCTGCAGATGAAGATTTCGAAAATCCGAATCCAGAATGTTCCTCAAAATTCCAAAGAATAAAGAACCAAGTCCATTTGTCAAAGGATATACACACACTAACGGATACATGTAAACAACAAATGATACAGTAACTATAAATACGAGTGAGTAAGAGAGAACTATTAATGACGTCCAAGTGAGAATAATAAATCAGTGAATCTGTAAAGAGACATACATTTAAAAGAACATACAACAATAAAAATTTAAAACTAGTTATGAAAAAAAAGTAAATAAGCTGTAAGTTCGGTCGGGCCGAACTTTGAATACCCTCCACCATTTGGAAGTAATTTGGCAATTCTCAAAAACCAAAAAAATCGTTAAAAATTCTGTTAAAATCTTAAAAATACCGAATGTAGCTATTATATTAGGTTCTATACGATGAAAAGAACCTGCGTAGGTAACATTTGTCATAAGCCATTACAATATTCAAATGCGAAACTTAAAAAAAAGGTTATAATGTCGATAAAATCAAAATACCGAATATCGGGAGGTACCGTTATATGGGGGCTATACGAAGACGTGGACCTGTGCAGACAATTTTCTGTCGTAGGCTGTAGTATCCATTACGAACTTCAAATATCAATTGAATTGAATTGAATGAAATAATTCTGGTGAAAATGTCCCTAAAATCATTAAAATACCGAATATCGGGAGGTACCGCTATATGGGGGCTCTACGAAGACAGACAATTTTCTGTCTTAGGCTGTAGTATCCATAATGGACTTCAAATACCAAATTTGAAACAATTCCGGTGAATAAATTCGCTAAAATCATCAAAATACTGAATATCGGGAGGTACCGTTATATGGGAGCTATACGAAGACGTGGACCTGCTCAGACAATTTTCTGTCATAAGCTGTAGAATCCATTACGAACTTCAAATACCAAATTTGAAACTATTACGGTGAAAAATGTCGCTAAAATCATTAAAATACCGAATATCGGGAGGTACCGTTATATGGGGGCTATACCAAAACGTGGACCTACATGGCCCATTTTCAATACCAAAAGTCCTGCAGACATAACATACATTAGAGCATAATTTTATCAATCTACTTCAATCCACAATTCTCCCAAAGTGTAGCGGGACAACAATGCATCGTAATTCATCTCAAATTTTTAACTGATCTTATACGCCACGCGGTTTTAACCCTGAAATTATTTGTTGTTTTTTGCAGATTTTTACAATAACAAAATAAAAATGCAAATCAAACCAAGTCCCCTTGAATGCCGTAGTATTTCCTGGCCATTGAAAATATTCAGCAAATTTTTGGGTGAATTCAATGTTAAATGATGTCTGCATTTTTTTGTTTGTAATATTTGAACGCAATTCATCACAAAATATTTATTTAAGTGCCAACACGCATATACATACATATGAATGCAGGGAGTAAATATTTTAATCTGTAGCACTGCTTTGCATCTTTGTTCGTAAACAATTCTGACTCAGATGTTTTCTATAGTATTTTTTTATTTAAAGAAAGAAGAGATAATTCTGGTGCGTTGTTACTATTGTAACAAAAAGGGCCCACGAAATGGATGTAAATATAAATTTTCATAAATTTATAGTTCTCAGCATGACTTGTGGTTTATGGGAAGTTGGAGAATTGCGTTTTCAATTCCGGTACAAAATGCAAAATTGGCTTTCAGAAATTAAAATATTTCAAATCTTTTGCTCTAACATTTTTTTCTCGGGTGTAAATTGTTTGGTTTTTTACTGCCATCCATATATCCGCTATTCAATTGACATACGTAAATAACAGCTTAGAAAATAAAAGTGGGTCAGTATTGAGATATCTACATAATTCCCGTCTGATGACATATTCGTCATTTGCATTCCTATTTGCAAGTGACATGTCTACATATGTATTTGCGAAGAGTTCTTAGATAAAACTATATGTATATTTATGTGATTTTTATAGGGTGATTTTTTAAAAGCTTTAAGAGCTGTAAATATACATTTGGATAAAACTAAATGTATATTTATGTGACATATTATAGGGTATTTTTTAAGAGCTATAGAGAGTTTTTCAGAAAAAAAAAGAAATGTTTAAGGATTATTTCATGCAAAGCGATCACCATTCCCAGTTACGTTACGATTAGTAGCATCTATGAAGATGTAGGGTCTAATGAACAACACCAAACTGTGACTTTTTCTGGATGTAGTGGTAACTTTTGTAATGCAACTGCCTGATCTTCACTCCAAAATTGACAATTCCGATTATTTATGTACCCAAGAAGCCAGGAGCTGCGCGATTCATTGTTAAATTAGACTGTGCGACATTCAATATTTTCAATAAATACTAGGAAAATCCTGCGGATTAAGAAAGTGGAGCTAAAAAAAGAAGACACATACAGGGTGAGATAAAAAAACTGCAACAATGTCAAAAGCCATCATTTTTACTTTTTTTAAATTTTATTGAATGAAAGCAAAAAAAAAAGGTCGGACATAGCATCAAATTTTAGACCAAGTTTAGATTTGTTCGAATTGGTCACCTTTGTCACGAATTATGGCATTTAAACAGGCAATTAAACCGTCACACGCTGCCCAAAAGTTGCTCTGCGGTATTTTGGCCCATTCCTGGCGAAGCGCTTGCTTGAGGTGATCGACACTTTGGTATTTTTTAGTGCCAACCTAACATTCCAAAATACTCCACACACAAAAGTCCAACGGATTTGTATCCGGAGATTTTTGTTGTTGCATTTGTGCGCTGGAAATGAAGCGAGGAACCTCATTTTGTAACCATTCTTTGGTGGCGCGTGCTGAGTTCGGTGGTGCTGAGTCCTGTTGGAATCCAAAGTCCAAGTGTCTAAAGTCTGCGGCCAAAATGTTTGAGTGCCCAAGGCTTTAATACACCCTCCAGAATATTTTCGCGATAATATTTGGCATTTATTCTGATACCACGGTCGATTAATTCGAGCGGAGACCATCGACCATCGGCTGTTATGACGGCCCACACCATCACCATGGCCGAGCTTGAGTTCTGGTTGCCAACCGAAGCTGCACATGTTGAGCTGATCTCTTTGGCAAGTAAACACGATCATTTTGTTTGTTTACAAACAGCGTATGTTTTCTGATCGGAGAAAACCAAATTCGGCAGTTCACCACTTTCGGCCAAGAGAAGCAACTCTTTAGCTCTTTTGAGTCTATTTTTTTCTTTTGCGGTATAAGTTCTTCCACTTTTTGGAATTTTAATGGCTTTATCCCGAGCTAATTTTTTTTCAATATTTGCCGAATGGAATATTGCGATATGTTGTTCAGCTTACGAGCGATTTTTCGATTTATTCACATTTAAATGCAATTCTATGTCGATGTCCCTCCGTCTGTGGAAATGACGCTAGCTTCCGACCGAAATTAAGTAGGTTAATAAAATTTTACTAAAATGTATATTATGTCTGCAGGACTTTTGGTATTGAAAATGGGCCCTGTAGGTCCATGCCTTCGTATAGCCCCCATATAACGGTACCCTCTGATATTCGGTATTTTGATGTCTCTAAAATCATTCATATCATATTTACCGGAATTGTTTTAAACTTGGTATTTGAAGTTCGTAATGGATACTGCAGCCTAAGACAGAAAATTGTCTGTGGAGGTCCACGTTTTCGTTAGTCCCCATATAACGGCACATCCCGATATTCGGTATTTTGATGATTTTAGCGACATTATTCCCGGAATTGTTTCAAATTTGGTACTTGAAGTTCGCAATGGATACTACAGGTGTACGTTTTGGTATATCCGACATATAATGGTACCTCCCTATATTCTGTATTTTAATATTTTTTCACCCAATATTTTTTTTTCAAGTTTTGCATTGAAATGTTGTAATGGCTTATGACAAAAGATTTTAACAGAATTTTTAAGCAGATTACATGTTTTTTTTTTAATTCTCAAATTCGTTCCAAATGGTGGAGGGTATTCAAAGTTCAGCCCGTCCCGAACTTGCTGCTTTTTTACTTGTTTTCTTTCCTTATCGATTTCTTTCCTTATTGGGCTGCTGATTCTGCTATTTTGTGTTATTAAGAGAGATCTGAACCTTTTTTTGTGGTAGCTCCCCTCACAAAGGGTCAAAATTTTGAATAACCAAAACGATCATAAAATGCGAAATAAGCATCCAATCCTCTACAAATTTCACGCATGCCATAAATTTTAGTAACACAAGATCTGCTGTATATCGGCTCACTCCTTCTGGTACTTCCCCTACAAAGGGTTCAATTTTTCAAAAAAACAAAGCGCTCATCCCAAAAATCTCCCATTTTCCTGATACATGTGTGAAATTAAGTAAATATTTATCGTTTTCTTTATTCCCTTTCGATTATCTTTGTCTTGTGAACTACATGAAAATAATGCAGTTTTTCTTTGTTTCTTCCTTTTTCAGAGTTGAAATTCGGGTAAAGCCCTCATCCTCAAGACCGGTGAATTTCCGTAATATTACATTCGAAGATGATTTGGCGTCGGTACATCCCGATGATCACTATGCCGCTCAGTTTGAGGCTTTTGGTACAACACCACCCAGAACACGATTGAAGAACAAAAATCGTGATTGGGAGCGTAAACAGAAGTCTCTGGCCACAGCCTCAACGGGAGGGTGAGTTGATACAAAATATATATTTTTTTTAATTCAAAGAAAATAATAATCGTCGTGTTCTTTTCCTATTATTTAGCTGTGAATCGCCTGTGGCGCCCAAAAAGGGAACATCACGAATGACACGTTCACGTGTCCTGCGACGCAACACCATGGATTGTGCTTTGCTCAATGAGATGTTTGTAAATGAGGATAGTGCTACCAAGAGGGCGGACAAGAGGGCCCAGGCCTTGTTGCGTGAATCGGAACGTGAATTGAAAAACTCGTTGGCCTTAACTTCGGCATCGGTGGTGTTGAACAACTATAATCCGCGGGTAACAAGTTTTCATGAAAGCTCCCACAATCTGGAGGCCATGGATAAGTGTACACCCCTAAATAATGAGGTTACATTGAGATATCAACAGCCGAAGGTTGTGGAATCGTGTAATCGTTATATGAGTGTATCGTCCAGGCCCACAGGATGTCGTGCCTCAGCTCCGCCCCAGGCGTTTGCCAATAGCTTGAGTTTGGGGTTTCAATCGACGCCGGGTTTTAAGATACGCAAAGAATTTCATGAAACCTTTGCCAATCTCATTAAATTGGGTAGTGTGGATCGTCAGGATGCCAAGGTAGGAGGAGGAAAAATTACAAGAGAAGGAATATATTTTTTAAGATATGACATTATTTCAGATTTCCCACGAAGAGCATACCTGGCAAACAGAAGTCAAAGATCTCATTTGGCTTGAATTACAGGCATGGCAAGCCGATCGTACACCCGAGCAGCAGGATAGATATTTATTTGCAGCACGCAAAGATGTTCCGGATTTGTTGACACAAATCATCAACTACAGATTCCAGCCTCGTTTTCGGCGGCAGGAAAGTGAATTCAGTGTGGACAGTGGCCTGGGGACCGACAGTAATGCTAGTTGTAAGTAAACCCCAATAATTATGAGACTTCATATTTTAATTCGCCTATTTGATTTCTTAGCCCCTCAACCACAAAAATTCTGCGAAGGTTGTCTCTCGTTGTACTGTAAAGATTGCACCGACCAACAGGAGATTGCCATGAAGGAGGTTGAAGAATTACTTACCCGTCTAGAAGCAGCTGAGGCCCTATATCCATCGTCGCAGGCTATGGGTGCCTTTCATCCCATCTACAAGAGTGAATCGTTTGTGGGTCGCATCAAGACAATGTGCCTGTGGTATAACATAACCAAACAAGCCCGCTTGAAACTAACAATATTGGGCAAAATTTTGGCCCGTCTACAGGGTGAGAAATTCTCATGGCCCGTACAGACCTCGTACACCGCCACGACCGAATCGAGTAGCGGCAATTCATCGGCTTCCGGTATGGATAATGAAGATTCGGGTATGAATTCAATTGATTCGACACGTTCCATGCATCGTAAGCTGTCATCGACAAATAATGTGGGTGTGCCAATGCCCAAGGTACAATTTCTATTGAATGATGTTGCCCATGTGCCCGGTGATACAACTAGCAGTAATGAGTAAGAGAATATTTGAATATATTACTTTTTTTTCGAATCTATTTAACTATGACTACCTGAAGGTAGCCAAATGTCAAATTTGACGATTCTAGCTCGATCCATTTGCCCAATACCAAATTTAGTACTTTTCGTACAATTATAGTACATTTTTCGAAAACCACCTCCATCTCTTAACCACAGATACCAACAGAGAACTCAATGCAAAATTTGAGGATTCCAGCCCTACCCCTTCACCCAAAACCAAATATAGTACAATTCAATACTTTACGTACAATTATGGTACACATTTCCGAGATACAAAATTCAGATTTTAAGCATTATCTGTTCACCCAATACCAAATTGTACCAAGTATAGTACGGTTCTGTACTTTTTCAATAATTCTAGGACGGGTTTTCAAAACCACCTCCAAATCTCTACCTCAAATACCAACAGTTATCTAAATATCAAATTTCAGAATTTTATCTCTTTCCCTTCACCCAATACACAATATAGTACCATTTAGTACTTTTTGTACAATTATGGTACACATTTCCGAAACCACCTGCATATGTCCAGGCTACACATGAACAGCGATCCTAATACCAAATTTCAGATTTCAAGCACTATTTGTTCACTCAAGACCAAATTGTACCAAGTATAGTACGATTCTGTACTTTTTGAATAATTCTAGGAAAGATTTTCAAGACCATCTCCAAATTTCAACCTCAGATACTAAGTATCAAATTTCAGAATTGTATCTCTATCCTTTCACCTAATACCAAATACAGTACCATTTAGTACTTTTCGCAGACTTGTGGTACACATTCCCTAAACCACCTGCATATGTCCAGGCTACACATGAACAGCGACCCTAATATCAAATTTTAGATTTCAAGCACTTTCTGTTTACCCAATACCAAATTGTACCAAATACAGTACCATTTTGTACTTTTTGATTAATTCTAGGAGGGAATAAATGAAAAAACCACCACCAACAAATTTCAGAATTTTATCTCTTTCCCTCCACTCAATACAACATATAGTACAATTTAGTACTGTTTGTACAATTATAGTACACAGGCTACACATTAACAGCGACCCTAATTCCGATAATTTCCGATTTCAAACACTATCTGTCCAATTGTACCAAATAAAGCACAATTTAGTACTTTTTGTACACTTGTAGTACACATTTCCAAAATCATCTCTTTATGGCAAACCTCAATACAAAAGTTCAAAATGTTAGCTCCATTCGTTGACCCTAAACCAAACTGTTCCAAATTTAGTACTATAAATTTGGAATAGTTTGGTTTAGGGTCAACGAATGGAGCTTCGTACAGTTCGCACATTTGGTACATATTTTCTAAACCACCTTCATATATAAACCCATCCTTGATTCTCATACCAAATTTCTGGTTTTTGGCTCTACCCGTTCACATGCAAATAGTACTATTTTAGAAGTTTAGTACCATTTGAGTATTTTCGGAACCTTAAAGTTGGTAATTCCAAAAACCTTTCGGTACATCTGTCCACAGTCCACCAGTGACTCTCAATCGAATTTTCAGAATTTTAGAACATTCCGTTTGTCCAATACAAGTATTCAATTTTCAGTACATTTTGGTACTTTTGGTACCCTTTTAGTACATGCAAAATTTTAAGATTCTAGCCTCAGCCGTTAATTCTCGAACAGTCAGGCAGTCAGTTACTTTACTACTTCTTTATAATATATATATAGATTATCCACTTTCGATCCGAACAATCCACTGAAAAACATTTCTTTCCTCCCCCCTCCAAATAGGTCTTCATCCACGGAAATCAGTCAAATATCGGAGAGCATTTCTTCAACAATATCGGCACATTCGTTTCGTAAAAATTCCATACATGATTTGAATATCTTCAGCGTGGAGCCCTTGCGCAATGGCAGCGGTACTAATCCCGAACAATCATCAGCGCTATATCGTAAATTTATCGAAAATGTTTTAAAGTCACGAGGATTGGCGAAATCCCTGGCATTCCTACACAAACTGCACAATGTCGTAATGTGTAAGGCACAAATTTCATTGGAAAAGCCCGGCACAGAGGATTACGATTTTGAGACTGAAAAAATTGAGGAGGATGTTCCAAGGCTGGAGCCTGACATTAGTCAAGAACAAATTGAGGAGTTGCGTCGCTATGGCTACTGGAGTGATGAATACAAATCCATAAATTTGCCAACTTACATTCCGATTTTTGTATTTTTAAGTGGCGTCCCCTTGCAGTTTATGCATGAGTTTATGCGCATGCGCTTGGAAACCAGGCCCCCGAAGCCGAATCCCTTGAGCTTGGAACAACTGATGAAGGAATTGCGTGAGGGTCTCACCTTGGCCTTGACCCATCGCGAACGCTACCAAAGGCATATTACCACCGCCCTGGTGGAAAACGAAGATGAACTGGAACGATATACCAGTATCCTAAACCAATATGATGCCACTGTAAGAAAGGTGTTTGAATTGTATTTGGAATACATTGACCAATTGGTGTTGGTGGCCTGTCCGGAAAATAACCAAAAATCCGCACTGGAAAAAGAGTGGATGTTTACCAAACTTATTTCTCCCATGATATCGGGAATGCACACACTGGCAGCGAAAAAATTCTGTAATATAATACGTAATCTTCTTAAGGGTATATCGGAGCGATTAGTCAGTCGTTCCGAAGAATTGGATATACAAATAGAGGGAACGACAGCACAGAATCTCGAAACGGAATTAAAATGGCAGGTATTGACAATATGTCGCGAAACCCAATCACTATTCACTGTGGAACGAGAAAGTTCGGTAAAGGTGTTATTCTTTGCCAAGACCTTTTGTCGTGATGTAGAATCGGCCGATTTTCATCGTGAACACTATGAAAACGATGTCGATGTGAATGGCGCCCAATGTGATGTTGTCTGTGAGGAAGCAAAAACTGCATTTAAGCTGCTGCAGCGAGATGTGTTGGATGTGCGGAATAAACTAACCAAGATTATTGAAAGGGTCCAGGAGAGATGTTCACCCGTGCATGTGATGGACGTGGATGTAAGATGAATGAAAATCCGACCCCGTTGGAAAAGGTTTTATTTTAAACATTTTTGTTTTCTTTACAGGAGCAAGACCGCCAGGCTGTACTCTCCAGAACCCGGGAAATTCTTCATCAGGGCTACAAATTCGGTTTTGAATACCACAAGGATGTGATAAGACTCTTTGAGCATCGCATAATGTCGACGAAAAACGAAGGCTTCGAGGAGGAATTGTCACTGGGCATTGTGACCTTTGCCAAAATGTGGATGCAATTTGTGACCGAACGCTGTGAACGAGGCCGAGGCATGCGTCCACGTTGGGCCTCTCAGGGTCTAGAGTTCCTAATATTGGCTTGTGATCCACAAATTACCCGGCACTTAGATGAGACACAATTCGAGGACCTGAAAAAGAAAATGGATCGTTGCATCTCGCATGTAATTGGCATAACATCAGAGCCTGAGAAGACACGGAAGAAGGCATCGCCAAGGACGCGAAAAACTTCCTCACCTGCCACCAGCCGCTCACGGACACCCACAAGATCGCCACTATCAGCTGGTATTGTGGTGAATAATACAACGCCACAACAATCACCACAATACAATAAATTCCTACATCCGCAATTTAGTCATCGGGAGGAAATATTCAGTCGCACCGAATCGCTGGACTCCACCGATTCCACATCCACATTGGATGTCACCAGTAAAATGGGTGATCTTCGTTTAATAGTGCCCTCAGCGATAAACGAAAAGTCCTCGGCACCGCCGACACCACCCACTAACCCCAATCAAGTTGGAGCCGATGCCTCGCTTGCCTTGAGACAAATACGCATACGCGATGCCATAAATCGCCTTGATTTGGACCTTGACGAACGCTTGCGTGAACGTAATCTGATCGGTCAGATTAAGGCCTTGAATTCCTGCGACAAAGTACAAATTCGGGCCCGCAGTGTCCACTTCCGTTGGCATCGTGGCATTAAAATTGGTCAGGGTCGTTTTGGCAAAGTCTATACAGCGGTCAACAACAATACGGGCGAACTGATGGCCATGAAAGAAATTGCCATACATCCCGGCGAGACGAGGGTATTGAAAAATGTTGCCGAAGAATTGAAAATTCTTGAGGGTATTAAACATGAAAATCTTGTCCGTTACTATGGCATTGAGGTGCATCGTGAGGAGTTGTTAATATTTATGGAGTTGTGTTCGGAGGGCACGCTTGAGTCGCTGGTCGAATTAACCGGTGGCTTGCCGGAGGGCTTGACGCGTCGTTTCACCTCCCAATTGTTGTCGGGTGTTGCTGAACTCCACAAGCACGGTATTGTGCATAGGGACATAAAGACTGCAAATATATTTTTAGTTGCCGGCGGTAATAGCCTTAAATTGGGTGATTTTGGTTCGGCTGTAAAGATTCAGGCACACACAACGGTTCCGGGCGAACTGCAGGGCTATGTTGGAACACAGGGTGAGTATTCAAAGAGTGTTTTTTTAAGGACACATTGAATGCGTATTGTTGTTGTATTTTGATACTGTCGTACACTTTGGATAAGAATCTACTCTACCTCAAGAAATCAAACAGTGGCCGTCAGATGGCATTGGGTCTTGAATGTCTGGCCTGTATCACTGGCTGTGACAAGAGGATCCTTTAAAACTATGGGGGGCTTATGAATAACACCTAAAATGGGACTAACATCATCATTTGTCGACAGAACCAGATCTCCGAAAAACTCGCTCGAATTTGAACAAAGAGTAAAATTCACTCGAATGGAACCGGGAGCACTATTGGAAGCAGAAAAATGGAAATAAAAAGGAATTTTTATTTACAGAATTTGGGTCTATGAGCTTAAAAAAAAGGAGCAAACTCAATTTTTCGATGTCACTCAAATTCTCGTTTTTGAGTGGGAGTAAAATTTGTTCGAAATGGAGCAGATTCTACTCGAGCTCTCTTTTAAATGAAAATCGAGAGAGAGAGAGAGAGTGTACATGTGCTTTGTTGATGCTTTTTCGTTTGGGGCTGCTCATAGCTGCTGTATACGATCACACCTATACTCTTCCCCCGTCTTCCACCCTCTCCTCCCTCTTCTACAGTACACAATAAGATTGAAAGGGATTTGCTGTTACACACAAGCACTCGCTCAGCAAACAAAATAATATTCTCCTTTCATTAACACCCTTAGAGCAGACTCTTTCATCGATTCTGCTCCCACTATAATTTTTTAAACAGAAGAGTAATTTACGCTCCGTAAAAACACCCACTCTTAGAGCAAGTTTTGCTCGCAAGTGAAAGCGGGAAAATCTGTGCATATTCTTACTTTTCTTAGTACATTCTTCTTGATTGATGACAGAAGAGGGTATATATCATTTTATACGGCCAAAACGTGGCTCATAAAAATAACATTTTCAGACCGATCTTGGTTTGTCCGTCCGTCTTTCTAGCTGGCTGACTGGGAAATGCGAAATAAACAACCGATTCCCTTCAATTTTTACATATCCCAATATTTTAACTAAGAAAAAATCTGGTGTGAAGATGGGATATATCAGCCCACTCTTTCTGGTACCTCCCAGGGTGAGATAAAAAACAACTGCAACAAAGTCCAACGCCATCATTTTTACATTTTTGTTTTAAATTTAATTGAATGAAACCAAAAAATTTCGGAAATAGCATCATATTTTAGACCAAGTTTAGATTTGTTCGAATTGGTCACCTTTGGCACAAATCATGGCCTTCAAACGGCCAATGAAACCGTTACACCCTGCCCGAATGTTGCTCTGCGGTATTTTGGCCCATTCCCGGCGAAGCGCTTGCTTGAGGTGATCGACACTTTGTTTCCAAAATACTTGGGACGCAATAGTCTAACGGATTCGTATCCGGAGATTTTGATGGCCATTGTGCGTTGGAAATGAAGCGAGGAACCTTGTTTTGTAACCATTCTTGGGTGGCGCGTGGTGAGTACGATGGTGGCATGACCAAGGTCTGCGACCAAAATGTTTGCGTGTCCAAGGCTTTAATACACCCTCCAGAATATTTTCGCGATAATATTCGGCATTTATTCTGATGCCTCGGTCGATTAATACGAGCGGATAGCGACCATCGGCTGTTATGGCGGCCCACACCATCACCATGGCCGTCGCTTGAGTTCTGGTGGCCAACCGAAGGTGTTCATCTTCAGTTGACCTCTTTGTCAAGTAAACACGATCATTTTGTTTGTTTAAAAACTGCTGGACAACGAATGTTTTCTTGTCGGAGAAAACCAAATTCGGCAGTTCACCACTTTTGGCCAAGTGAAGCAACTCTTTAGCTGTTTTGAGTATATTTTCTTGTTGTAGCGGTGTAAGTTCTTGCACTTCTTGAAATATAAATGGCTTTACCGTTTTTCAATATTTGCCGAATGGAATATTGTGATATGTTTAGCTCACGAGCCATTATTCGGCCACTGCGACGCGGGTTTCGATCAAGTCGCTTCTTTACTTTTCTAACATTTTGTGCTGATGTTGCTGTTTTCTTCGTCCACTTCACTGACATCGGACTAAGCTACCAGTCTCACGGTAACGAGCGATGGTACGATGGACACAAAAGATTTATTCACTTTTAAATGCTGGAGTGCTCTAACGATAGCCACTTGAGGTTTTCCAGCTAAATATAAAGAAATCACACTATCACTGGAATAATTTTAATGGAATAATTTTAACAGCTGTCGGACGAGTATTTCTAAGCCAATCGTTCGACAGCTGTTCAAATTTTCCCAGTGACAGCTCATTATATTGTCATATTGTTTTATTAATTTTCCAGAAAAAATTGTTCGTGATGGAATTCAAACCTGTCAAGCGGTTTGTCCATCTCACCCTGTACATATTCTCCATCAGTCATCCGTCCGTTTGTCCTTCTGTGAAAATCACTCTAGCTTCCGAACGAAATGAAGTAGATTAATAAAATTTTACTCAAATATATATTATGTCTGTAGGAGTTTTGGTATTAAAAATGGGACATGTAGGTCCACGTTTTGGAATAGCCTCCATATGATGGTACCTACCTATTTTCAGTATTTTGGCGATTTTAGCAACGTTACAGAATTGTTTGAAATTTGGTATTTGAAATTCGTAATGGCTGCTTCAGCCTGAGACAGAAAATTGTCTGTGTAGATCGACGTCTTCGTATAGCCTCCATATAACGGTACCTCCTAATTTGGTATTTCGTAATAGATACTGCAGCCTACGACAGAAAATTGTCTGTGCAGGTCCACGTTTGGTATGGTATCTCCCTTTAATCGGTATTATGATGATTTAAGCGACATTATTCACCCATTTTTTTTCAAGTTTCGCATTTGAATATTGTAATGGCTCGTTATAAAAGTTTCCTATGGGTGACAAAAGTTGCCCATGTCCCAGTCGTCATATATACCCTAATATAATGGCTACATTCGGTATTTTTAAGATTTTAACAGAATTTTTAAGGGATAAAATTTAATATAATTTTAACAGATTTTTTAAGGGATTATTTTTTTTTTTAAATTGCCAATTCCAAATGATGGAGGGTATTTAAAGTTCGCCCCGGCCGGACTTACAGCTTTTTTACTTTTTATTAGCAAAAGATCTGGCGTGAAGATAGGATATATCGGTCCACTGCTTCTGGTAACTCCCCAAAATATGGGGTCAACATTTTGAGGAAAGTTCTGCTCGCCTCTTCTGGTACCTCCTCCACAAACGGGGTCAACATGAAAGGCGAAAAAAGCATCTGATTCGCTTCAAATTTTTCGCATCCCAATATTTTTTTTTTTAAAGAAAAGGTCTGGTGTGAAGATGAGATATATCGGTCCATTCCTTCTGGTACCTCCACCACAAAGGTGTCAAAATTTTGATAAATACATCTCTCATGAAATGCGAAATAAGCATCTGATTCGCTTCAAATTTCACACATCCCAATATTTTTTTATTAACAAAAGATCAGATGTGACGATGATAGATATCGTCTGACCCCTTCTGGTACCACCTTCACAAAGGGGTCAAAATTTTGAATAATTATATCTCCCATGAAATACGAAATATGCACGCGATTCCCTTCAAATTTCACACATTCCAATATTTTTTTATTAACAAAATATCACATAACCCCCACGTAGGGGTCAACATTTTGAATGATTATAACTCTTATAAAATGCGAAATAAGCATATTCCAATATTTATACCAACACAAGAACAGGTGTGAAGATGATAGATTTCGGCCCACCCCTTCTGCTACCATCCCCATAAAAGGTCATAATTTTCAATACTTATGTCTCTCATAATTTGCGTAACAAGTCAGTGATTCCTTTCATACTTTTTATACCTTCATATATCTCTCAACCAGAGATGTGAATATGGAATTTATCGGCTTAGTCAAAAACAATTTTTTTTTCAATTTTTTTGAAATTTTGAAATGTTTATCAGTTTAAGATGAAGTGGAATACTTCGTTCCTTTATATAATTTAAATGTCCATTGTCCTCAAATATTGCTCTTCGTCTTCTTTTAGCTTACATGGCTCCTGAAGTTTTTACCAAAACCAATAGTGATGGTCATGGCAGAGCTGCTGATATTTGGTCTGTTGGCTGTGTGGTGGTGGAGATGGCCTCCGGCAAGGTAAGTTCAACAATGTGATTTGAGGGTTACATCAAATGCTAACAGAATTTTTTTATTTTATTTTAATAGCGTCCTTGGGCCCAATTCGATTCGAATTTCCAAATTATGTTCAAAGTTGGTATGGGTGAGAAACCGGAGGCACCCGAAACCTTGTCACAAGAAGGTCATGATTTCATTGATCATTGTCTGCAACATGATCCCAAGGATCGTTTGACTGCCGTTGAATTATTGGAACTTAATTTTTGTAAAGTAAGTAAATAATGGTGATTTTTTTTTTAACTTTTAAATATTATTATATGTTTGTTTTTATTTTCAGTATGGCCGTGATGAAGACTTCAATGCCGAACAATTGGCTGAACAGGGTCGACGTTCATTCAGACGCAATATTCGAATGAAATGAAGAAACATTCAGCGTTTCCTTTTTTTTTGGACCAGATGAAGGCATTTTGTTTGTGTTTCACTGTTTGTAGCTTTACCTCATTTAAATGTTTTTATTTAAAAAAAAAATACAAATATTAATTATTTTTCCTATATTTTAGGAAAATTAAAAAAATATATGTGCATATTAGTCGCAAAACAAAACATATTTTAGTAGCTATTTTCTGTGTTCTGTGTATACATGAACTTTATTTTAATTATGTTTTTCTTTATTAAAAATTTTGTTGTATTTTAATAAATAATTAGTATTTAAGCTGTGTTAGTATCTATTTCCAAAGTTTTGATCGTTTGTTTGCATTTTTTGTTTTATCAAAAAAATGTGTAATTTTTTAATTGGATTATTAAAAAAAAGGATGTGTTTTTTTTTTAAATATACTATAATTATAAATGTAGTAAAACACACACACAATTAATTTAAAGTAAAAGACAATAAAATATAAATTAAGTGGTGAAAAATAAAAATTAAAAAACAATATTCATAAAAAATAAAAAATTATTGTATATTTTAATTGTTTGGTCCACATAATATTGGGAGAACCCAATCATAAGAGTTGTGTTTTCCCAAACCTGCAATATAGTAGTATATTATACAGAATTGATAATTTTTATACCCTCAACCGTATGGCTAGAGAGAATATAGAGGGTGAGATGAAAAAACTGCAACCAAATTCAGACTGCTGTCATTTCTAAGCCACTCGTCCGACAGCTTTTAAAATTATTCCAGTGACAGCTCATTATATTGTTTACAAGCGTACAAAAGCATTTTGTTGAGAATTTTCCTGGAAAAAAGTTATTCGTTATGGAATTCAAGGGTGATAGTGTGATTTCTTTATATTTGGCTGGAAAACCACAAGTGGCTATCGCTAGAGCACTCCAGCATTTAAATGTGAATAAATCTTTTGTGTCTCGTAACATCGCTCGTTACCGTGAAACTGGTAGCATAGCTAGACGTCAAGGAAGTGGACGGAAGAAAACAGCAACATCAGCAGAAATGGTTCAAAAAGCAAAGAAGCGGCAGTGGCCGAAAAATGGCTCGTGATCTGAATAACACATCGCAATATTACATTCGGCAAATATTGAAAAAAGGGCTCGGGTAAAGCCATTAGCCATTGAAATTCCAGAAAGAGCAAGAACTTACACCGCAACAGAAAAAAGACTCAAACGGGCTAAGAAGTTGTTTCGCTTGGCCGAAAGTGGTAAACTGCCGAATTTGGTTTTCTTCGATGAGAAAACATTCGTTGTCCAGCAGCAGTTTGTAAACAAACAAACATGATAGTGTTTACTTGCCAAATAAGTTAGCTGAAAATGTGCACCTTCGGTAGTTGTGCACCAGAACTCAAGCGCCGGTCATGGTGATGGTGTGGTCGCTCTCCGCTCGTATTAATCGACTGTGGAATCAGAATAAATGTCGAATTTTATCGCGAAAGTATTCTGAAGGGTGTATTAAAGCCTGGGCACGCAAACATTTTGACCGCAGACCTTGAATATTTCAATAGAACTCAGCACCATCGCACTCAGCACGTGCTACCCAAGAATGGGTCCAGCGCACAATGGGCACCAAAATCTGCGGATACCAATCCGTTGGGCTATTGTGTCTGGAGTATTTTGGAAAGCAAGGTTGGCACTAAAAAATACCAAAGTGTCGATCACCTCAAGCAAGTGCTTCGCGGGGAATGGGTTTCATTGGCTGTTTGAAGGCCATAATTCGGCCAAAGGGACCAATTCGGACACATCCAAACTTATTCTAACATTTTTTGCTTTTATTCAATTAAAATTTAAAAAAAAAATCTAAAAATTATGGCGTTTGATTTTGTTGCAGTTTTCTTATCACATCTTTTATTAGCTTAAGGTGTGGTGTTAAAATGGAATATATCGGTCCACTCCTTCTGGTACCTCCCCCACAAAAGGTCGTAAGTTTCAAAAAATATATTTTCTGCACAGAAAGAGAAACGATAATCCCATTTTGCTCCAACTTTGCAAATCCTAATATTTGCGTCAGTGCTAAGTCAGCTGCGAAAATGGTATATAATATTGGTATACTTTATTAAGTACTTCCCCCACAATGGGTCAAAATTTTGAATAATTACAACTCTTATAAATGTCCGACTGTCTTCAAATTTCACACATCCCAATAATTTTATTAACTCAAGGTCTGGTATTAAGGTGGAATACATCAGTCCACTCCTTCTGGTACCTCCCCCACAAATTGACGTAATGTTCAAAAAAATATAATTTTTATTCTGCACAGAAAGAGAAGCAATAATTCGATTTTGCTCCATCTTTGCGATTCCTAATATTTGCCTCAGTTCTCAGTCAGGTGAAAAAATGGATAATATCGGTCCACTCCATCAAGTGCTTCCCCCACAAAGGGTCAAAATTTTGAATATCCATTAAACTTATAAAACGCGAAATTAACATTAAATATCATTCAGGCTTGGTACATCTAAATATTGTTATCAACACAATATCTGTTGTAAATATGGTAGAGATCGGACCACTTTCTTCTGGTACATCCCCCACAAATTGTCAAAGTTTTGAATTTTCAAAACGATTATAAAATCCAAAATATGTATCCGGTTCTCCTCATATTTTACACATCCCATTATTTTTACTAATACAAGATCTGCTGTGAAGTGGGAATGTGTCGGTCCACTCCTTCTGGTACCACCCCAACGATGAGCCAAAATTTTGAATATCCACGAAGCTCATAAAACGCGAAATTAACATTGGATTTCATTGACACTTGGCACATCTTAATATTTCCATCTACACAATATCTGTTGTAAATATGGTAGAGGTCGATACGCCCCCCATATAGGGTTCAAGATTTTGAAAAAAAAACGCTCAAAGAAAGCGAAATAAACATCCCACTCTCTTCAAATTTCACACATTCAAACATTTTTTGGTAACACAAGATCTGTTGTGAAGATGATATATATGTGCGAACCCCTTCTGGTACCTCACCCACAAAGAGTCACAATTTTCAATACTTTTATCTACTATAACTTGCGAAACAACTCAGCGATATTAAAATTGATGATAATCGAATCAGATTTGAATATAGCTCCCATATATATCTTCAACCGATTTCGGCTTAATTGTGCACCAAATGGACAATATAAGTCCAAATGACCTGAATTTTAGCACACCCAATCGAAATCAGTCTAGAGCAAGTACATCAAATTTAGTGAAAATCGATGCACATATGGCTCCCATACATATGTGTCATCCGATTTGGTGTTTAAGTTCCTCACATTAACAGACTCGGGTTAATTGTGCACCAAATGGCGAATATCTGCCCAAAAGTCCTGAATTTTGGTACATCCGACCGAATCGAATGTCTAGAATCAGGTACATCAAATTTAGATAGCTATAGCTCTCATATAAATGTTTCATCCGATTTGGTGTTTAAGTCCCTCAAATTCGTAATATCCATTCGACAACAATGATATTTGGTTGGTATCTTATGGAGCTCGGAAATACATTCGAAATTAGCTAAATATCCTTACTCCGATTTCAATATTCGGTATTTTCATGATTTTAGCGACATTATTCACCGGAATTGTTTCAAAATTGGTATTTGAAATTCGTAATGGATACTACAGCCTAAGACAGAAAATTGTCTGTGCAAATCCACGTCTTCGTATAGCCCACATATAACGGTACCTCCCTATATTCGGTATTTTGATGATTTTGGCGACATTATTCATCGGAATTGTTTCAAAATTGGTATTTGAAGTTCGTTATGGGAACTACAGTCTGTGACCGAAAATTGTCTGTGCGGGTCCAGGTCTTCGTATAGGCCCCATATATCAATACCTCCCTATATTCGGTATTTTGACGATTTTAGGTACAATACTCACCGAAATTGTTTAAGATGTCGTATTTGAAGATCGTAATGGATGCTACAGCCTGTGACAGAAAATTGTCTATGCTGGTCCAGGTCTTCGCACAGCTCCGGTATAATGGTACCTCCCGATAATCGGTATTTTGATGATTTTAGCTACATTATTCACCGTTTATTTTAAGTTTCGAATTTGAATATGGTAATGGCTTATGACAAACAATGCCTATGTATGTCCACGTCGTATAGACCCCAATATAACGGCTATATTCGGTATTTTTAAAATTTTAAAAAATTTTTTTAAGGATTCTATTTTTTGAAAATTTCCAAATTCGTTGCAAATGGTGGAGGGTATTAAAAGTTCGGCCCGGCCGAACTTACTGCTTTTTAACTTGTTCGCTCTAGTTTCATAATCTCCTGGATTTCCGCGTAATAATTTTTTGTGTTGAACAGTGTAATCGAGAGTGAACTAAAACAAACTCGCATAAATAATACTCTGTACGTTCTACCTGTTATCGAATAATTAGTGAAATATTACAATTTTTATGATAATCCGTAGGTTATTTGCTTTTATTTAAGACCACAAAAATCCAAATCACATAACATTTTAGTATTTAGGGATAAATTGGAACAACTGTTGCGACTGGTGGTGGCCTTGGGGTTGGAGGTTCAGTTGGTGGTCCCACGTAACCGCCATTGCTCGGAGGTGGTGCGGTAGCGTTTTCAACCGGTGGAGTTGGTGGGGCAGTTGGCAAGTATGGAACAGCATTTACGGCAACTCCGAGCAAGAAGATGCTCAAAATGAAGTGTAGAACTGTGAAAGGAAAGAAGAAAAAAATATTTATTTATTTTGTTTAAATAAATAAATGATATATACATTAATAAAAGTGAATAAAAAACCTAAGTTAGTATTTAAAAATTAAAAAAAAATGTTAATAAAAAATAAATGATTATTTAAATATAAATTAATTAGTTGCTTAATTAAACATAAATTAATAATTTAATTAATAAATAAATTAAAAATTAATTAATTTGCTGAATTTTTGGTATTGAAAGTGATCCCCGTTTTCATATAGCCTTCATATAACTGTACCAGCAGCTGTTCGGTAGTATAGCCTCTATATAATGGTACCTCCAACAATTTAAGCATTTAAAGATTGTGAAATAAGAATAAGAAAGATTGTCTTCAGATTTCGCACATCGCAAAATTTTATTCTAGGTGAAGCTGGGAAATGTCGGTCCACTCTTTTGGTACCTACCCCACAAAGGGTCAAAATTTTGAAAAACCACGAAGATCATAAAACGCAAACCTAACATACGATTCCCTTCAAAGTTGGCACATCTCAATATTTCTATCAGCACAAAATCTGGTGAACAGGGTGAACAATTTTGAATAACTATAACTCTTATTAAATATGATGTAAGAGTCCGATTGTCTTCAAATGTCGCAAATCACAATATTTTTAATGACCCAAGGTGTGAAGCTGGGGTATATCGGTCCACTCCTTGGGGTACCTCGCCCACAAAGGGTCAAAATTTTGAATAAACATGATGCTTTTAAAACACGAAATTAACATCCGATTCCATTCAGACTTGGTACATCTCAATATTTCCATCAATACAAGATCTGTTATAAAGATGGTAGAGGTCGTACAATTTCTTCTGGTACCCCTCCCACAAACCTTTTCAAGTTTCACACATCCAAACATTTTTGCTAATGCAAGATATGTTGTGAAGATGATATATATTTGCGGACCCCTTCCGCTACCTCACCCACAAAGGGTCACAATACTTTCCAATACTTTTATCTGTCATAACTTGTGAAACAAATCGGCGATTCTTTACAACTTGCTATATCTAAATATTTCTTTCAACCGGAAATCCAATATGAATGTGGAATCTAACGGAATTTATGATTTCGCATGAAATGGAATATAAATGTTTGATGTTCTTGTAATTTTGGTCATACCAATATTTCGGGTCACGATTCACAAGGAAGGATATCCGGTACCTCACGCACATTTCAATATTTTTTGTCACCTATCTCATATTAAGTGAAGGAGGTAGTCGGCATAGTTCATACCTGGCACATTACAATATTTTTATGATTTTATTATTTTTATAATTTTTTTTCAGGTTCAATACGAAATGGACAATATTGGCCCATTTCTTCGAAACCTGCTCCATAGGGGCTGAACTGTTTGAATAACCATTACAGAAGTCAAAATATATTTAAATAATCGAACATTAGCTGAGGGTATACATCTGACTTATACTTTTTATACCCTCCACCATACTATGGTGGGTATATTAACTTTGTCATTCCGTTTGTAACTCCTATAAATGCTCATGTCAGACCCAACAAAGTATATATTCTTGATCAGCGTAAAATTCTAAGTCGATTTAGCGATGTCCGTCTGTCTGTCTGTTGTAATCTTTCGAACGAATTGAGATAAAATTTTGCACACATGTTTATTTTTCCAGTAGGCAGGTTAAGTTCGTAAATGGGCCATGTAGGTCCACGTTTTCATGTAGCCCCTATATAACGGTACCTGCCGATATTCGGCATTTTGACGATTTTAGCGTAATTATTCACCGGAATTGTCTCAAAATTGGTATTTGAAGTTCGTAATGGATACTACTGCCTAAGATAGAAAATTGTCTGTGCAAGTAGATGTCTTCTTATAGCCCTCATAACGCGGTACCTCCCAGCATTCGGTATGTTTATGATTTTAGCGTCATTATTAACTGGAATTGTTTCAAATTACGTATTTGAAGTTCGAAATGGATACTACAGCCTATGACAGAAAATTGTCTGTGCAGGTCCACGTTTTCATATAGCCCCCATATAACGGTACCTCCTGAAATTCAGTATTTTGATGATTTTAGCGTCATTATTCACCGGAATTGTTTTAAATTTGGTATTTGAAGTTCGTAACGGATACTACAGTCTATGACAGGAGATTGTCTGTGCAGGTCCACATCTTCGTAAAGCCCCCAAATAACGGTCGCTTCCGATATTCGGTATTTTGATGATTTTAGCTACACTATTTACCGATTTTTTTAAGTTTCGAATTTTAATATGGTAATGACTTATGACAAACAATGTCTATGCAGGTCCATGTCGTGTATAGATCCCAACATAACGGCTGTATCCTGTATTTTTAAAATTTTAACAGAATTTTTTAGGGATTTATTTTTTGAAATTTTTCAAATTCGTTCCAAATGGTGGAGGGTATTCATAGATAGGCCCGGCCGAAGTTACAGTTCTTTTTATTTGTTTTTTTTTTTAGTTTTTCTTATGTCCTTTATACGTTTATACACTTCTACTTACATTTCATTATTGTTGTTGTTTCTCTTTGTCGTTTGACTGACACCTCAAAGAAGACGTTTGTAAAGAAACTGATGCTGTTTCTCCATTATTTCGAAGCTTTTATAGTTCTTCTCAATTACTACTCTTGAGGCTAGATAACCATGTAGATTCTAAGTGAATTTACTTGTCGAAAAACAAAATATTATTTTGATAAGATAGTTATTATTATTGGGAAATTTGATCAGTATCGGAGGAATAGACTTTTGGAATTTTGGCAGATTTTTTTTTTCAAAAAACACAAAAAAGATATTTGATTTGTTGAATTTTATCAATTCATTTGTTCCATAATGAATGACAAGTGTACCTGATATGATCTAATATATCAGAATGATGTTGCAATTCGAACATTTATGTTATTAATTTAATTGTTGAAGACGAACTTGCCATATTCTTTTCACGCTGATTGTGACTCAGCACGGTCATTAACATTTTCCAAGGTTTTTCAAATTGGCGGAAAAAGAACATTCACATGTGTATGAACAATTTTTCGCCTCTAGATATTCGTAACCCGATTCCAAGAAAGTATTTCCTGGCGGACTTTTGAATCTTAAGTCAAGGAAATAAAAAAAAAAAAAATAAGAAGAAGAAGAGTTGGCCGGGCCGAACTTTGAATACCCCTCCACCATTTGGAATGAATTTGGAAATTTTCAAAAAATAAAATCCGTTCAAAATTCTGTTAAAATCTTAAAAATACCGAACATAGCCGTTATATTGGGGTCTATACGACCTGGACCTACATAGGCATTGTTTCTTATAAGCCATTACTATATTATAAACTGGTATAATGTAGCATTTTTAAAATACCGTATATAGGGAGGTACCGTTATATCGGAGCTATACGAAGACCTGGACCTGCATAGAATATTTTCTGTCACAGGCTGTAGCATCCATTTCGAACTTCAAATACGACATCTCAAACAATTTCGGTGAGTATTGTACTTAAAATCTAAATATGGGGCCTACACGAAGTCCTTAACCTACATAAAAATTTTGTGTCACAGACTGTAGTTTCCATTACGAACTCTAAATCTTGAAATTTTAAACTACAATTCCGGTGAATAATGTCGCTAAAATCATCAAAATACCGAATATCGGGAGGTACTTCTATATGGGGGTTATATGAAAACGTGGACCTACATGACCCATTTACGAACTTAATCTGCCTACTGGCAAAATAAACATGTGTGTAAGATTTTAGCCTTCTATCTCAATTCTTTCGAAAGACAGCGTGATTACAGACAGACGGACATCGCTAAATCGACTTAGAATTATACGCTGATCAAAAGTTAATATACTTTGTTGGGTCTGACATGGAGGAGTTACAAACGGAATGACAAAGTTAATATACCCTTCATAGAATGGTGGAGGATATAAAACAATTTAAAAGCATCAGCCGTTTTAGCCGACAGATGTATACTCTCGATTATTTAAATATATTTTGATTTCCGCTATGTTTATTCAAATTTTTGACCCTCTATGGAATAGGTTCCGAAGGAATAGGCCAATATTATCCATTTCGTATCAGACTTAAATAAATATGATATAAATATAGCGACGTGCCAGGTTTGGTATATATTGACTACTTCCTTCACTTTATATAGATAAAGTTAATTGAAAAGAATCGCTGACGGATAAAAGTATTGAAAAATGCAACCCTTTGTGGGTGAGGACCAGGATGAGATAAAAAAAGCGGCAACAAAGTCAAACGCCATAATTTTTACATTTTTTTTTCAAATTTTATTAAATGAAAGCAAAAAATGCCGGAAATAGCATCAAATTTTAGAATAAGTTTAGATTTGTTCGAATTGGTCACCTTTGGCACGAATTCTGGTCTTCGAACGGCCAATGAAACCGCCACATGCTGCCCGAATGTTGCTCTGTGGTATTTTGGCCCATTCCCGGCGAAGCGCTTGCTTGCGATGATCGATACTTTGATATTTTTAGTGCCAACCTTGTTTTCCAAAATACTCCAGACACAATAGTACAACGGATTGGTATCCGGAGATTTTGGTGGCCATTGTGCGCTGAAAATGAAGCGAGAAAGCTCATTTTGTAACCATTCTTTGGTGGCGCGTGCTGAGTCCTGCTGGAATATCCAAGGTCTGCGGCCAAAATGTTTGCGTAGCCAAGACTTTAATACACCCCTGCAGAATATTTAAGCTATAATATTCGGCATTTATTCTGATGCCACGGTCGATTATTAAGAGCGGAGAGCGACCGCACCATTACCATGGCCGCCGCTTGAGTTCTGGTGGCCAACCGAAGGTGCACATTTTCAGCTGACCTCTTCGGCAAGTAAACACGATCATTTTGCTTGTTTACAAACTGCTGGACAACGAATGTTTTCTCATCGGAGAAAACCAAATTCGGCAGTTCACCACATTCGGCCAAGCGAAGCAATTCTTTAGCTCTTTTGAGTCTATTTTCTTTCTGTTGCGCTGTAAGTTCTTTCTCTTTTTGGAATTTCAATGGTTTTACCCCGACCTCATTTCTCAATATTTCCCGAATGGAATATTGCGATATGTTCAGCCCACGAGCCATTTTTCGGCCACTGCGATGTGGGTTTCGATCAAGACGCATCCTTATTTTTCGAAACATTTCTGCTGATGTTCTGTTTTCTTCCATTTCCACTTCCTTGACGTCGGGCTACGCTACCAGTATCACGGTAACGAGCGATGGTACGGAACACAAAAGACTTATTCATATTTAAATGCTGGAGTGGTGCTCTAACGATAGCCACTTGTGGTTTTCCAGCCAAATATAAAGAAATCATACTATCACGTTTGAATACCATCACGAATAAATCTTTTTCCGGAAAATTCTCACCAAAATGCCTTCGTACTATTGTAAACAATATAATGAGCTGTCACTGGAATAATTTTAACAACTATCGGACGAGTGGCTTAGAAATGACAGCAGTCTGAAGTTAGGTGCAGTTTTTTTACCTCACGCTGTATTAATATATCAGCATAATATTCTACGTCGATTTAACGATGTCCGTCTGTCTGTTGAACTCACGATACAGAACACATTATTTGACGAAGAGCTTAAAAATTTGTATTGTGTCTAGGATGGGTTTGGTATAGCCCCCATATACCCATATAATGGTACCTCCCAATATTCGGTATTTTGATGATTTTCGCCACCTTTTTATTATCGAATTTGTCTAAAATTGGTATTTGTATGTCATAATAGGATCTAGCACCGGTGGGGAAACATTGTGTGTAGAGGTCTACGTTTTTATATAGCCCCCATATACGGTACCTCCCGATATTCTGTATTTTGCAGATTTTTGTCACCTTTTTCCACGGATTTGTCTAAAAATTGGTATTTGTAGTTCATAATGGGTTCTAGCTCCTGTGGCGGAAGATGGTATATATAGGTCTACGTTTTGGTAGGGCCCCCTTTATAACGTTACCTCCCGATAATCGGTGTTTTGATGATTTTTACCACATTTTTCCACGGATTTGTCTGAAAATTGGTATTTGCAGTTCGTAATGGGTTCTAGCTCCGGTGGTGGAACATGATATATATAGGTCAACGTTTTGGTATAATGGTACCACCGGATATGCAGTATTTTTTTTATTTGTTTAAAAATTAATATTTGTAGTTCATAATGGGTTCTAGCTTCGGCGGCAGAACATTGAAAATATAGGTTCACGTTTTCCTATAGCGCACACGATACCCTCCGATACGTGGTATTTGGATAATCCTAGTCACATTTAGTCAAGTAATTGTTTCAAATTTGCTATTTAAGAAGATTTGATAGATGACAACCCTTGAAGCATAAAATTGTCTGGGGAGGTTCCCGTTTTGGTATGGCCTCCATGCGACGACTTAACCCACTTTATGGTTTTTTAAAAAGTTTAACAGCTGTATCTAATCGGCCTTCCTGCATTTGAAGTTTAAATTTTGAATTCATATACTTGAATATAAAAACGTTTTATTTACCAAATGGCGGAGGTTTTTAAAAGTTCGGCCAGGCCGAAATTTTTTTTTACTTTTTTTTTAATACCATATATTCACATGTATTTCAAAAAACTTGTTCCTCATAATAATCGCGTGGTACAAAGGTATTTTTTGATTTTAGGTTATAAGTCAGGACGCCCTTGGCTGTGGGAGGTACAGGTCTTAAATCACTTGGAGCTTCGGTTGGTGGTCCATTATAGCCCATATCGGATTCAATTGGTGGAATATTATTGTCGGTAATCGAAGAATCTAGTGGTGTTTCGTCAGCTATTGGAGGAGGTGGGAACGCCCCGACCGTCAAGCAGACCAAAAATAGGCTTAGAATAAAATAGAGAACTAAAAAAAATAGAAAAGAGGAAAAATATTTAATATTAAAATATTTTGCTATAAAAATATGAAATGAATTTTTTTGTAGGAAAAATATCAAAAAAAAATAAATAAATAAAAAAATAAGGAAACTATTTTTCATTTTCAATTTTTATAGTACCAGCATTGAGTACCAGGGTGTGAATTCTTGTTTTTCTTCTTGTTCTTGAGATAAAAAAAAACTGCAACAAAGTCCAAAGCCATAATTTTTATTTTTTTTTATTTTATTGAGAGAAAGTAAAAAATGTCGGAAATAGCATCAAATTTTAGAATAAATTTAGATTTGTTCGAATTGGACACCTTTGGCACGAATTATGGCCTTCAAACGGCCAATGAAACCGTCACACGCTGTTGCTCTGCGGTATTTTGCCCAATTCTCGGCAAAGGATATCAATATATCCTTTTTTTTGTGATAAACAATTTTTGTTTGATCAATTTACTTACATTTCATAGTGCTCCCAATAAATGTAACGTCCACGACACTTCTGATTGCCGGCAGTTCTGCTCCATGCATTTTATATGAACTTTCCATTTCATATTTGGTTAGAAATTTCGGTTTCTGATAAAAAAAAAATATTAATTAAAGTAAAAGTGCAATGGGTTCTAATTACAATGGCGTAATCGAGTATTTAGAGATTAGATTACATGTTTTAATTAACGATTTATGAACTGCAGTACTTATCGTGGACAATAATAATACGTCTTTTTCGGAGAGGGGCAAAGAGGGGAAGAGATTTTCGACTAGACAATGAGTGCAATGCCTTTGTTTAAATTAGGTAAACAATGATATACTGCAATCCCAATATTTTGACTATCACTTACCTTGACTTCGTTTTATAGGAAACTTGTGGAAGTTGCCAGTTATCGCCCAC